AAAAAAAAAGAAAAGAAAAGCAAACAAACAACAAAAAAGGAACGGGGAGCAGAGGGCAATGACATCCAGATTCAGGAGGACACCAGTCTGCACAGGGCAGAACTGATGACTCCATGACAATGGTCTTCACCAGATGAACTTAACCAACAAGAGTTGTTTGGTTGCTTCATTTTTAGTTGACCTCACAAGTAGGAGGGGTTAGGGGTGGGAAATAGGCTTCTATTGGATGATTGGGCATAAAGTTACAGTAATTGATTTCAGGAACTAATTACAGTGGTTCTTAATTTTTAGCGTTATAGCTTTCAGGTGGGATAGAAAAACACCACTGGTAGATGTTAACACACGTTTAACCACGTTAATATTTCAGGAACGGGTGAAGATTGATTTTGCTTCCAGGGTTTCATTTCCCCGAAACATCTTGCTAAGCAAAACCTTTAGAGTGATCTGGTAAACGTCTGATAAGGCCAGCTTCAAGATCCTTGAAAGCAATTCTCTTTTATTACATTTTTGTCATAAAGGAGCCCTGGTGGTGTAGTGGTTAAGCATTGGGCTGCTAACCACAAGGTCAGCAGTTCAAAACCATCAGTTGTTTCTCAAGAGAAAGATGAGACTTTCTACTCCAGTGATTCTCAACCTTCCTAATGCTGTGACCCTTTAATACAGTTCCTCCGGTCACCAGGCGGAGCTGGACAAGCTGACAACTCTGTTAAAAGATATGAAGAGAAACTCCCATCTGGGTGTGCTGTATGACCAGGACAAGCAAATTAAAACCATCGAAAGGTACATGAGACATCTGGAGTTACACATTAGTAAGGTAGATGAGCTCTATGAAGCTTATTGTATCCAAAGACGCCTCCAGGATGGTGCCAGCAAAATGAAGCAAGCCTTTGCCATGTCCCCTGCCAGCAAAGCTGCCCCGGAGAGTCTGCGAGATCAATCGGAGCTACAAAGAGCACACAGAGAACATGTGCAGCATCGAAGCGGAGTTGGAGAATTTGCTGGGGGAGTTCTCCATCAAGATGAAAGGTCTGGTTGGCTTTGCTTGTCTCTGCCCCAGAGACCAGAATGAGATTTTCATGAAGTACGGCCGACATAGGTGGAAACTGAAAGGGAAAATAGAAGTCAACGGCAAACAGCTGGGATGGAGAAGAAATGGTTTTCCTGCACCTGATAGTTGGGTTAATTTCCATCAAGGTCACTGAGCTCAAGGGGCTGGCAACTCACCTCCTGGTGGGCAGTGTGACCTGCGAGACCAAAGAGCTGTTTGCAGCCCATCCTCAGGTGGTGGCTGTTGACATCAATGACCTTGGCACCATCAAGCTGAACCTGGAAATCACCTGGTATCCCTTTGACGTGGAGGATGTGACCCCTTCCTCGGGCACAGGAAACAAGGTAGCTGCCCTACAGCGGAGAATGTCCATGTACAGCCAGGGCACCCCGGAAACACCCACCTTCAAAGATCACTCCTCCTTTTCGAATCTGCCTGATGACATCTTCGAGAATGGGAAGGCTGCCCAGGAGAAGACGCCACTGTCCCTGAGCTTCAGCCACCTGCCCAATGGAGACTGCGCCCGGCCTTCCCTCGCAGGGGGCTCTGCCTCCAGGACATGCCCGGCCAACCCAGAAATTACCATCACGCAGAGCGGAGCCCCGACAGCCTGTACTCGCAGAACGACTGCACCGACGACTAGCTCAGCTTCTTCCAGCAGCTCCTCGGCCGCAGGGCCGCAGCCAAAGCGCTCCGGGGAGGACGAGGCCAAGCCGGGGCCTGAGCCCACAGGCCCGATGGCCGGGCAGCTGTTCACGGAGCGGGATGTTGCGGAGACCCTTCTGCAAGAGTCGGACGAGGCCTCCAAACTCAAGCCCGTGGAGCTGGACACTTTGGAAGGCAACATCACCAAGCACCTGGTCAGGAGGCTGACCTCCTCCGAGGTGCCGGGGCTGCTCTTGAAAGGCTCTGTCAGCGGGGAATCTGAAGGCTTTCGGTCCTTCCTGGACGGGAGCCTGGAGGATGCCTTTAGTGGGCTTTTCCTGGCATTAGAGCCGCACAGAGAGCAATACAGAGAGTTTCAGAATCTGTGTCGAGAAGTCATGCATCTGGATGATATTCTAAAAGATGCTAAACATCTTAATCAGAAACTAAATGATGCTGCCTCTTGGACGTAAGTCACTGAGGGTGAATGAAGCAACGGTGCTTTAAAAGACTGAAAGACGTGTCCCCATGTGCTGTTCTGTCATCTTGAGTGTCTGACACAGAGCCCAGCAAGGCCCTCCCCACCCTGTGCTAAGACATGTGCAAGCAGTACCCACCACCTGACTTGATGGAAGACGTTTGGTTCTTCTTCCTTGCAGGACTTGTCCCCTTCGATCCACCGCAGTGTCCTCTTGAATATTTGAAAATGCTCCTCTCTTCCCTGGTGCCCCTAGCAACTAGCATTACTCTATCTAATGTTTCTGTTTGTGGCCAGCAGTACAGGATTCTTCAGGCCACAGAGTGAGTTTGCGCCTGTAATTCCAGGGCCCAGTCCAGGAGGGTTTTGTCTGGTTCCTTCAAAGACAGAACTCAAGACTTTCGTTTTCTTCTCAACTCTCCAAGAAAAGGACAAGGTAAAATGCATTAGTTAGGGAGCATGACCTAGCTGGATTGGAGCCATGTTTTGTTTATTTGTGTGTTTCTGGGATTTATCCTGTGACTCCTTTAGCAAAAGTGCCTTAGATGGCTAGCTCCTATCTAAGGACACTGAAAACATTGCCACTTGGAAGGTAGATATTGGTAGTACTTGGCATTGACTCTGTGACTCTTACAATTAGCTTACTGATTGCATTTTTATTTGGGGTTGAGTAATGTAAGTGGAGGAAGGGCATCAGTTACGTCTCTCAAGGTTTTCTGGTTGTAATATTTTAAACTGTTGATTTTGGAAAGTTTCAAGCCGAAGTAGAAAGAATCATGTGATGAATCCCAGCATGCCCATCCAGGTTCCATCATTACCAACCCCTGGTCAACCTTGTTTCATCTCTTCTTCTGCCTGATATCTCCCTCCTGGATGGTTTTGGAATAAATCCCAGATACAGTGTTATTTTATCCCTGGATGTACCACTTTTTGTTATGTTTTATTTTTATATATGCAAGTTTTACATACATGGAAAAGTGCCAACAACCAAAAAAGTGAAAATAAAGATTTGAAAAAAAAAAATACAGTTCCTCATGTTGTGGTGACCCGTCCCATCATACAATTATTTTTGTTGCTACTTCATAACTGTAATTTTGCTACTGTTATGAATCAGGTGACCCCTGTGAAAGGGTCATTCGAGCCCAAAAGGGGTGAAGCCCCACAGGTTGAGAACTGCTGTTCTCCTCCACTTCAGACTGGCGATCTCAGAGACCCACAGGGGGAGTGAGGGGATGTCCAGTTTGAGCTCCTTGATTGAATCAGGGAAGGAGATTACCTTCTACTTTTAGGACTTTCAGCAATGCACATATCCACAATGCAGGAGGTTGCCAAGATTGCCATGAAGACAGTGAATAAAAACAATAGTCAAACTCAGCAGGAATTGAGTCAAATTTAGTAATTCCATTTTGGCCTCAAAGGATTTTATGAATAATGCTTTACACTCAGCAAAGGAGCAATGTCATACTTACTCAGCCTGAATCCCAACTTGAATTTCTTTTTCACGTGCTTTCTTCTTTTAGGAAGTGTTAACACTATGACGTAGGAGACCTGGTGGCATAGTGGTTCGGATACTAACTGCAAAGTCAGCAGTTTGAAACCACCAGGCGCTCCTCTGAAGAGAGATGAGGCTTTCGACTCCCATATAGAGTTACGGTCTTGGAAACACAGCAGCAGTTCAACAGGTCACTGTGAGTCGGCATCAACTCAATGATAAAGAGTAACACTACGAAGCAGACTTTGGTACCCCTGAGCTCCTGGGTACAATAATCGTCTATAGTGCCCTGCTCTCCACTTCCTGGTGGCATAGTGGGTTATGAGTTAGTGGTTGGATTGCTAACCACAAGGTCAGCAGTTTGAAACCACCAGCAGCTCCACTGGAAAAAGGCAAGGCTTTCTACTCCCTGAAAGGGTTAGCATCTCAGGCCCCCACAGGGGCAGTTGGGCAGCTGTACCCTGTCCTGTAAGTTTGCTATGAGTTGGACTTAGCTCCATGGCAGTGAGCTTGGTTTGATTTTTCATGCCCGGCTCCAATAACCTATAGAGTGTCCTCCCTGGATCTTGTGGTCAAGTACTTGGGACTTGTTTCCTGGATCTGCCTTTTCCCCATTCCGCACAGAAATCTCCTTTAACGTCCTCTGGAAGAATTTGAGCTGCATTTGACTTTCCGTAACGGGGAGGACTCACGTGTCTGAAAACACGCACCAGGTACATATTCCACGGATTCTGGAGTTGGTTCTTCCTCTGATGCTTCCTGTGGTCAGATTTAAAGAGTCTCATACATATTCCCCCTTGGATCTCTTCACTCTATGCCAAAAATTTCCTAGGCAAAGCTACTCTAGTCTGATAAGAAGTACCCGATTCCCTTAAAGAGTCTAACGTAGAGCCTTTTTCTGTAGTAGCTCACATTGAGCTGTGATCACCACAGGTTATATTTTCCTCCTAACATTCTGGATTCTTGGGTCCTGGATTGCCAATGCAGGATATCTTGCTGTCTGAGAAAAAAATCAATATTTATAAACATTCAAACTGCCCTCGAGAATTATTGAGCCCCAAACCCCTCTCTGGGGCAAGAAAGTTCACTAGGTCTCTTGAAAGTAAATGATCTCCTCCCCCACCCCCAGTCCCCTCAGTTCCCAGAATGAGGGTTGGAGTATGTTAATTAAAGTTGTCAAATGTTTTTAAATATGAAGGGGTTTCAGAAATTTGTGGAAAATTGAATTTTAAAATAATGGGCCCCCTGGGATTATCTGAGCTGATCTTCACAATTCTGTTACTAAATTCAGAGTACTATCTTCATTTGGAAAACAAGAAACCTAAGGCTTACAGGTTGTCTTTGTGATCTAGTGCTGCTCTAACAGAAATTCCACACGTGGGCGGCTTTATCCAAAAGACATGTGTTCTCTCACCGCTTAGGAGAGTAGATGTCTGAATACAGGACACCCGCTCTCTGGGGAGACTATCTGTGGTGGTTCTAGAGAAAGGATCTTGCGTTCTTTTAAAATGTGTGGGCCTCCCATTCCTGCAGCTCTCCATGTGTCGTAGGGAGCTGGATCCCAAAAGATGTGCTCCCCTCCTGCCTCTGCTTTCTTGGTGGTAGTCACGTTTCTCCTCTCTGCCTGTTTGCTTCATCGCTGTCATATAGTGAAGGAAATTGTTCCAAGATATAACCTAATTATGTAGATTGTCTTTTGCCTCAATCACATAACTGTCTCTAATCCTACTTTATTAACATCACAAAGGTTAGGAGTTATGATACAAAGGATAATGACATCAGGCCACAATAGGGAAGATAATTGCAAAATTATGACCCAGCCAAGTTGACATGTATTTTGGGGGCACCCAATTCAGTTCATGATGGAGGGTTAATTAATTCCCCAAAGTCATACAGATGACAAAACCCAGAGCACTTAGTTCCAAAGTCTCTGCTTTAATAAAACATGAACATACTGTTTCTTATATCACCAAGTAATGAGGGCTTGTAGGACATCACGTTTATAGCTGTCCTAAAATGCAGTGTGGTGTTAGAGACTGAGGACTACAGAAGTCAAACATTTGGGGCCTCCTACTTTTTAAATTAAAAGCTGCTGGCTTGAAAGGGAGCTAGTGTGGACATGTACAGCATATGTCTTGTTACCAACTTGCTTTGTAGTGATTTTAATTTTTCTAAGACAAAAAGACCAGTGATGAGTTGTTACCATAATGAAAACGATTCTATAAACAAAGATCTTGCTCTTCATAGGGTTACAGCTAATGGTGCAACCTGGAAAGAATTAAGAACAGCACCTGTAAGACTGTGTCTTAAATCAAGCCTTCTATTATTGATCATTTAATATTGCTGAGTGTTCAAAATATTAGAGGACAGTGGAAATGGGACACAATTTGTACCCAATGGTTTTATTTTAAAAATGAAATGTTTTTGCTTCCCCCCCTAGACATATATAGTGTAAACATTGCAGTGTGGTGATGAATACAGATAGCCTGGATTCACATGTAGTCTGGGACTCGCTAGGTCTATAAACTTAGCAAGGTCGTTAACCTTCTTGAGGCTCCATTTCCACATCCTTAGATTGAAGACAGTTATACCTCTTTCCCTATTTCCTTCATGGTCAACTGTCAAGTATAAGGTAAGTACCTTTGCAGTGGTGAGTGGTTGTTGTCCCCACCCCTGCAGAATAATCTTGGATTCTCTGCTATCTAACACTCTAAAAAGTTGCTCAAGGAAAGTAATATTTTAGAGGATTTCCTCAAGGATATGAAATACTCCAGATATAAATTTAAACCCTGGAAGAAACCATACACATGATTTTGGCCCTTCATTGAAGTGCTCAGATGAAGTGTGCTTATGCTTAATACCTTTAAGACTCAGATGAGAAGTGGGATTATTGATGTGGAAGACATTGTTTTGAGATTCAGTGGTTCTCAAACCTACTTGATCATTAGCATCACCTGGGGAGCTAAAAAAATGAGGAATTTGGGGGATGCACTTAGATCCCGACTAAAGCAGTGAGGGTGGGTAGCAAAGGTATGAAATTCATACTTGACTGTGGTGATTCTGAGAGTACTCTGGAAGGAGCCCTGGTGATGCAGTGATTAAGCACTCGGCTGCTAGTTGAAATGTTGGTGGTTAGAACCCACTAGGTACTCCCCAGGAAAAAGACGACAGTCTTCTTTGATAGATGTCCTTGTTGCTGTTAGGTGCCATCCAGGTGGTTCTGACTCATAGTGAGCCCATTGCCAGCAGAATGAAACACTGCCCAGGTCTGCCCAGCCTCACAGTTCTTCTGTTTGAGTCCATCGGTACAGCCGCTGGTCACTCCATCTTGTCGAGGGTCTTCCTCTTTTGTGCTGCCCCTGTACCACGCATGTTATCCTTCTCCAGAGACTGGTCTCTCCTACAACATGCCCAAAGTACATGACATGAAGTCTCACCATCCTTGCCTCTAAAGAGCATTCTGGCTGTACTTTTTACAACCTCAAACTCCTACAGGATAGTTCGACTCTATTCTGTAGGGCTCCTATGATTGGAATCAACTTGATGGCACACCACAGGCACTTTGTTTGAGAATGAGCTGTCTTATCTGTGAAGTTTTCTTTGTGAAGCTGTAAGGAAGATTCATGTACTGGTTATAATACCAGGATTAGCCGTGCTTCCCTTAAACACTCCATTCTTCTATAGGGACATTGTCAATGGTATAATTAATTAGATTTTGTTTTTTTGCTTTGACTGATTGTAAACCTCTGGTAAGTATACCATTGCTCAGCAAATGTATACCAATATGATAAGTGCTTTCTATATTAACTGTATCCTAACCTCAAATAATTTTTCTACTTTTATTCTTTTTATCCCCTCCCCATTTTATTGTTTGCTGAGTTTTCTAATTGTGGTATCACTATCATCTACCTTTTATCTCTCTGGGAATAAATAATGGAACTAGCTTGTACAGGTTTTCACAAGTGAGAACTGAGCCTTTCTTCCCAACACCACTTTCAGTATCTTGGTAGCTCAAAATCAGCATGCTGAGTACTTACACAAAGGGAATCAGCCGATATTACATTACTGAAATATGTACCCATGTAGTATGGTTGTAAAGTTAGAGCAAATGGTGGCTACGCCTCTCACACTGCCTGGAACAAAATAAGTAAATCATATTTGTATTAAAGGTCAGCTACTAAATGGTAGCAGCTGTCATCGTCATTGCCACCTAATAGCAGAAGATTTCTTGAAGGAAAATGAAGTTAAATCCAACAGATCATTATCAAATTTGAGAGATCGTCCTTTCTCCAGTCTTCATTTAAGTAGCTTCTTCAAGCCCAGTAGAAATCAGGACAACTCACCCCCTAGTGATAACATCGTAAAGGGTTCTCTAGGGTTCGAAGAGCTTGCTTTCCTCCCTCCCTTTCGTTCATTTCGGAAGCTCAGTCATTCGTAGATGCTGAGCTATTTGAACCTCTAGCACTCAGAACGCATTCAATGAA